CTGAGATTGTGTCACTTCACTCCAGCCTTGGTGACAGAGTGAGACTTTGTCTGGAAAAAAAAAAAAGAAAGAAAAGAATGGGTGCTTTTTATGTATGTAAATTACAACTCAAGTTTGGTTAAAAAGAAAAAAGCAATACACGTGTGTGCTGAAAATCATTGAGACCACAATGAAAACAGTCAGACTTTCTGTAAGTCATCCTCACACATCTCTCTCCACCTCTCTGGTGGACTTCCTTCCTTTTTCCCCTCCCCCTCCCATTCCCCCTTCCCTTCCCCCTCCTCCTCCCCCTCCTCCTCTTCCACACTGGTCTCCCTCTCCTCTTTTGTCACCTGCCTTTTCCCCATTCTTTATGAAATAGAGTAATCTGGCTTGCTCCTGATGATGCAGGACAGGCAAGCCCCAAAAGTGAAGCTTAGCTCAAGAGAGTTTTTGGCTTTGCTCAGGAAAGAATTTAAGAGTGAGCTGGTGGTGGTAGCAATATTTATTGACTCAGCGGTGCACAGCAGCAGCAGAGGCGTTGCTCCATGAGGAGCGGGGCTACCCCATAGGCACCGCGCCCAGGGAAGCAGCTCAGAGGCAGGTCTGCAGTCACATGCATACACACTTTTAGTCATACGCAAATTAAGGGGAGGTTTATGCAGAAAATTTTTAGAAAAAGGATGGTAACTTCCCGGTGGTCAGGTTGTTGCCATGGAAAAGGGCGGTAACTCCCCGGGGTGTTGCCATGGCAATGCGAAACTGACATGGTCCGCTGGTGGGCGCTGATGGAAAGCTGCTTCCGCTAGTCCCTGTTTTAGCTAGTCCTCAATTTTGCCCGGTATCCGATGCCCGCCCTCAGAGTCGTGTCCTGCCTCCTACCTTACTATCGGCTTGAGTTTCTAATGCTTGAGTTACACGGTTTTTTCCCCCCTCCTTTTTATGGAGAATGGGTTCTAGCTATATTGCCCAGGCGGGTCTGAACTCCTTGGGCTCAGGATGTATGCCCGCCTCTGTCTCTCTAAGAGCTGGGATTCCACGCGTGAGCCACTGCGCCTGGCGAGTTTCTAATGTTTGAAAGGGACTTTTGTGCTCAAAATCAGTATCTTTTTTTTTTTTTTTTTTAAAGACAGGGTTTCACCATGATGGCCAGGCTGGTCTTGAACTCCTGACCTCAGATGATCCACCCACCTCGGCCTCCCAAAGTGCTAGGATTACAGGCGTGAGCCACAGAGCCCGGCCTCAAAATCAGTATCTTTGAGTTTGAATTTATTTCCAGTTGATTAAAACTTTAAATTTAAAAAAAAAAATCTCATTTTTTCCTTTTAAGATTTCAGATCCAACTTACACAGTTTGTTATCTAGTTATATATTTAATAATTTGGGACCGGGCGCGGTGGCACACGCCTGTAATCCCAGTTGGGAGGCTGGGGCTGGGGAATTGCCTGAGCTCAGGAGTTCGAGACCAGCCTGGGCAACACGGTGAAACCCTGTCTCTACTAAAATACTAAAGAATTAGCTGGGCATGGCGGTGTGTGTCTGTAATCCCAACTACTCAGGAGGCTAAATCGGGAGAATTGCTTGAACCCTGGCAGCAGAGGTTGCAGTGAGCTGAGATCACACCACTGCACTCCAGCCTGGGTGACAGAGCAAGACTATTCCATCTCAAAAAAAAAAAAAAAAAAAAAAAAGAACCTGAATGACTACGTTTATAAATTTGTACTCGGTTTACAAGAGTTGTTTTAATGTGTAGGTGTGGTGGTGCATGCCTGTAGTCCCAGCTACACAGCAGGTCTAGGTGAGAGGATCACGTAAGCCCAGGTAGTAGAGGCTGCAGTGAGCCATGTTCTCACCATTGCATTTAAGCCTGGGTGACAGAGCAAGATCCTGTCTCTCTTTTTTTTTTTTTGAGATGGAGTCTTGCTCTGTCACACAGGCTAGAGTGCAGTAATGAAATCTTGGCTCACTGAAGCCTCTGACTTCCGGATTCTCCTGCCTCACCCTCCCCAGTAGCTAGGATTACAGGCTCCCACCACCACTCCTGGCTAATTTTTGTATGTTTAGTAGAGATGGGGGTTTCACCATACTGGCCAGGCTGGTCTCAAACTCCTGATCTTGTGATCTACCTGCCTTGGCCTCCCAAAGAGTTGGGATTACAGGTGTGAGCCACCACGCCCGGCCCGACCCTCTCAAAAAAAAAAAAAAAAAATTGAAATTACAAGGCAAATCTGACAGATTCTCTAATGTGACAGATTGAAGAATGTTACGTTCTCTTAAACGTTAGGGATGTTTAAAATATGCAATACAAAACCAATGACTTTTAACACTAAATCATAAGTACTCTGGGTTTGGTTATCTTATCATTTCCATATTATTTCTTTACTCTCAAGGGTGCAAAGTCATTGACCCCACTCCGATTATGTCAGGGGGACTGAGGATTTCCACATTAAAAATAAATGAAGACTGAGATTTAGGGATTAGCGATTCAAGGCTGAGATTTGGGACCAGGTTCTTCTTCTTCTTTTTTTTGTTTTTTTTGTTTTTTTGAGACAGAGTGTCTCACTCTGTCACCCAGGCTGGAGTGCTGTGGTGCAATCTGGGCTTACTGCAACTTCCGCCTCCCAGGTTCAAGCAATTCTCCTGCCTCAGCCTTCCGAGTAGCCGGGATTACAGGCGAGCAGCACCGCACCCAGCTAATTTTTGTATTTATTTTTTTTTAGCCGACATGGGGTTCACCATATTGGCCAGGTTAGTCTCGAACTCCTGACCTCGGATTCTGCACACCTCGGCCTCCCAAAGTGCTGGGAATACAGGTGTGAGCCATGGTGCTTGGCCCAGTTTGCTCTTTTTCTTGTAGTTGAGCCCATCTGTTTTATTAGCAGCAATTCCCAAGCTCACCCCTTCCCGTGGGAATTTGTTTTATAACTCAATTTGTCTAATTGTTCGCTCGTGATTAGGTTCAAGTGAAGTCTTTTTGGCAAGGATGCTCCACGAGCTTCCCAGTGCATCGCATCAGGAGCACATTATGGCTTTTGGCCTCATTACTGGTGTGCCAAGCTTGATCACTTAGTTAATGTGGTGTCTGCCAGAGTGCTCAACCTTTTCACTTTGTAATTTATCAAAGATAGGTTTTTATGTTCTCGTTTTTAGTCTTTTCATAGACTCTCTTGTCTAGTAGAGACAATTATAAAGCACATAATTTGAGTATGCCCTCCCTGGATTCTACAACCACACAGATGGTAATGCCACCATTTCTCCATCGAGCTTAAACTCCTGTTTCATCCGGCAAGAAACGGTACATTGGTGGTTTTCATGGAGACTCTTCAAGGCTGGATAGTTCTCCCATGGTGATTCAAAAATCTCTCCCCACAACCCCCAGTATATGTTCTGGTGAATCCCAGATCATATTGGTAAGGTGATATCTTTAGTTCTGTCTTGTAAGTGGGTTTCTTGCATAAAAACACAAGCATCTGAGGTCACAACCGCTGTAATACTGGGGTCAGAGTATCACTTTTTTTTTTTTTAAGACAGAGTCTCACTCTGTTGTCCAGGCTGGAGTGCAGTGGTACAATCTCAGCTCACTGCAACATCCACCTCCCAGGTCAAGCAATTTTCCAGCTTCAGCCTCCCGAGTAGCTGGGATTACAGGCACACGCCATTGCGTCCTGCTAATCTTTGTATTTTTTAGTAGAGATGGGGTTTCATCATGTTGACCAGGCTGGTCTCGAACTCCTGATCTCAGGTGATCCGCCCGCCTCAGCCTCCCAAAGTGCTAGGATTGCAGGCATGAGCCATCACATCCGGCCAGAGTATCACTTAGCAGGAATATTGACCACCATTTCCTAGTCTTCTTTCTTCACATTGTTAGTTTCCAATTATTGAAGACATATCTACTGTGTCAGAAGGGAGTCTTACGCACTGTACAAAATGTTATTACCAAAAGCTGCAACCCAAGTAAAGGACCTGCTAATCTGCCTCATGGCCATGGCTTCAGACCTTGGAAAGTGACACGAAAGAAGCTCAGTGTTATCACACAACTGCAGTGTGGACCAGCAACTGCTGAGTATAGGCAGTCTGTTCACCGTTCACCCCCCTCAGTGTCATACTTTTCTGTTGTCTTCTGATTGAGTTATCTTCCTACACTCTCCTCCAGTTGATAGTTGTAGTCTTCACAGCAAACCGAAGATGGCTTTATGTGGACAGGAAGCATCAGGGGCTTTGGAAATTTTGCTGTACGTTGGACCAGTAAAAGTAACTCCAGGTCTGAAGACAGCTTGACTTTGGCTTATTTTTACTGATACCCATTTATGTTTTTCAGAAAGAGTTACTTGATCACCAGCTCTAGAGGGGTTATCAGGAGTTAAATTGTCCAATCTTATGCAGATTGGCTGGCGGGCTGCAAAGCCGATGAACTTTTTGAACCGGGAGTTGTACAAACAGAAAAATGAAGACTGCAAGGCTCGGGCCAGGCGCGGTTGCTCACATCTGTAATCCAGCACATTGGGAGGCCGAGACGGGAGGATCACTTGAAGCCAGGAGTTTGAGACCAGCCTGGCCAACATGTTGAAATCTCCATCTCTACTAAAAATACAAAAATTAGCTGGGCATGGTGGTACGCACTCCTGTAGTCCCAGCTACTTGGGCAGCTGAGGCAGGAGAATGGCTTGAACCCGGGAGGTGGAGGTTATAGTGAGCTGACATCGTGCCACTGCACTCCAGCCTGGGTGACAGAGTGAGACTGTCTCAAAACAAAAACAAAAAAAGGCTCTTCCGAAGATGCTTTAATGAAAATAATCATTTCTTAGTTACCCCAAGAGCACCAACTTTGATGTGGTTGAGAACTCAAGCCAAATATTGTGAAGGTGTAACTGTGTTGACCTCTAGCCACAGCTCAGTTGTTTTGCAAACTGTCTTGATTTCCTACAGGTGACTTGTCCCTACTGAGGACACCTATCAGTAGGTCAGGTAGCAGCTTTGTGAGACCTTCCTGCTGGTACCCAGAAGTGAACTTGAGCCCACTAATTTTTTTTTTTAAATGAAAAGTATGGTTTTATTGTATTTTCTTGTCAAACACCTTCACTTGAGGCAACAACTGAAGTACAATTTAGTTCAGCAGGAAATATCACACTTGGAGGGAAAACACACACTCAAAAAATCGCTTAAATCAAAGCCAAACATTCTTTCCAAGGCACAGCACTGGCATTTCAGATTGACAGCAGAACGAGTTTGTTTCCATGAAACAAAATCACGAGTCCAGGGTCTGTTTTTAAAAGAGCTTTGCACTTCACCTCCACTTCTTGGGCTCCGGGAATGATGCTCGTGGCCCTCCTCAGGGCCAGGTAGCCAGTGACGACGTCAGAGGGCAGCCTCCGAACTAGGAAAACTCTTTGATGGTGCTGAACCGCAGTTTGCTCTGGGGGTCTGTGTAGTTGGCAAGAAGACCTGAAACATCAGAATACTTCTTAGCTGGCTTAAAGGATGGAGGAGCATCAATACTGAAGCAGTTAGGATCGTTCAGTTGCTACGCAATGCCCTTTTGGAAGCCAGGATTTGTTTCAGGTTCTTCCAGGTTCTGTTCTTGCCAGCTACCGCACCACTGTGGCCAGAGTGCACAAAGTTGGGATCCTTAAATGGCAAAGATTTGGTAGCTTTTTCCACAGGTGCTGTGCTAAACTCAGAGGGCACCATTTCATTCTCACTTACGGCTTCCATGCTGACACCCTGCGCAAAGCTGGAGGCGCACACTTTTTTCTTCTTACTGGAGCCATAGCCCCCGCCGCTGCTGCTGTTGTGGGAAGGGCTGGCCGGCCTCTTCTTGCTGTTCCGGACTATTCCGGGAGTGGAAGTGGTGGCCACAATTGCAATTTGAGCCACCGTCACACCCTCAGACTTCCCCTGGTCCCCCTAATTTTTTAGCATTTTAATTTCTCACAACAGAAGAGACTGGCAAAGCTCAACAATTCCCTGTGTTTATTTATTTTGGAGACAAGTTCTTGCACTATCACCCAGGCTGAAGTGCAGTGACACGATCATAGAGCACTGCAGCCTTCACCTCCTGGGTTTAAGGGATCCTCCCATCTCAGCCTCCTGAGTAGCTGGGACCACAGGTGCAAGCCACCATGCCCCACTAATTTTTACAAATTAGTTTTAGTAGAGATGAGGTCAGGCTGGTCTTGAACTCCTGGGCTCAAGCCATCCTGCTTTGGCCTCCCAAAGTACTGGGATTTCAGGCATGAGCCACGCACCTCGACTACTTTTTAACTCACTGCAACCTCCTCCTCCCTGGTTCAAGAAATTCTCCTGCCTCAGCCTCCTGAGTAGCTGGGACTACATGTGCGTGCCATCACACCCAGCTAAGTTTTTGTATTTTAGTAGAGACGAGGTTTTACTGCATTAGCCAGGCTGGTCTCCTGAGTTCAGGCAATTTGCCTGCCTCAGCCTCCCAAAGTGCTGGGATTATAGGTGTGAACCACTGTGTCTGGCCCACAAAACTGTTGTACAATGCTGTCATTTATTGCTAAGTTACTGTGTATGCATGTTATTTTTATGTGTAAGGTGACAACCCACGGGATTCCCTAGATATGTGTCTGTTTTCTCCAGTTCACTTATAAACATGACCTGAAACAAAAAATTAGCATCACAAAAACCACTTTATGACAAGGGCATTCAATGCCTTCAGTGGTAAACACTACCAGCAGGGTACTGCTGTTTGCTTAACTTTTTTTTTTTTTTGAGATGGAGTCTTGCTCTGTCACCCAGGCTGTTTGCTTGCTTCCATCTTGGCTCACTGCAACCTCTCCCTCATGAGTTTAAGTGATTCTCCTGCTTCAGCTTCCTGAGTAGCTGAAATTGCAGGTGCACACCACCACGTCCAGCTAATTTTTGTATTTTTAGTAGAGACAGGGTTTCACCATGTTGGTCAGGCTGATCTTGAACTCTGATCTCATGATCCACCTGCCTCAGCCTGCCAAAGTGTTGATGTTACAGGCATGAGCCACTGCAACCAGAGCTTAAAAGTTTTAATCATTCCAGCAACAGATTTGGGATTAAT